GGGGGTACAAGCGGAAAGCCCCGGAGGTGAGCCAAGTGGGAGCGTTCCATGATCTGGTGTCAAGGGGGGGTCCGGTTGAGCGTGCGAAAGAAATTGCTGAGAGAGTGCATAAGGCGGGGGGGGCTGCTGAAGCAGATGCCCGGGGGCTGCGCTTATCGGACGAGACAGTGAGTGCTCTGCGGGAGCAGCTTCTGGACGGATTGGACCACCCTCAGTTTCGGACTAGGGGGGAAGTTCACCTGCCGCATTTGCCCCCCAGAGCGAGGCCGGCGGACCCCCTGCATGTAGAGTCGCAGTCCTCCACGCTGACTTATACAGGCAGTGGGAATAGGGTCAGTGGGAATAGGCTCCAGTCACGGCGTCCTCATTCAACCCCAACCAGCCCCGTGCTTTCCCCTCTCCCATCCCCCAAAATGACATTGCGCTCGCAAAGCTTCAAGGAATCGGTTCAAGTGGGGGGGTACAGCCGAGTGCCAGTGGACGTGCCGAAACCGCAGCCGGCGGGGGAGAACCAGCGGATGCGCTTCAGCCCCCAGCAACAGAAAACCCTCCAGGAGTTTGGGACAAAGGTCAACTGGGTGGGCCCCGGGGTTGAGAGTATGGAGGAGGCGCACCAGATTTGCGCGGAGATGAGCATGGACATCAAACAGCTGAAGAAGTGGATCTCCAACCACCGCCCGAAGGAGCTCCGGAGCTCGTCCACCCCCAGGCCGGGGGTGCAGCCGCCCTGGGCCATTGTACCCCCCCTCGCAAACTCCGCCTTCCCGGGGGTCTACAGCGAGGCTGCGCTCAGGGGCCTCAGTGCAGCCCACCCTGCTTTGGTTGGTCACCCTTTCTACCCCCCTGCCCCCTTCTTTGGCGGCCCTCAGTTCCCTCAGGGAGCGTGGGTGCCCCCCCATTACGCTCCTGGGGGGCAGGCAATGTGGCCCTGGCCTGCCTCGGGCGCCTCATTGCCCCCCCAAGCATCCACGCCGGGGGGTGCCGTTCCGCCGCCGCAGCAACGCAGTGACGCCCCTGGTGAGGGGGGGGGCAAGCCAGTGGATGTGAAGGAGATTGGTCCGGGAGGGGCTGAGTTGGTGCGCGGGGGGAGTTTGGAGGCTAACGGGGGAAAGCAGGTGCCGCTCGATATGGAGCGGCTTGCGAATGCCGACAACCTGCGGCAAGTTCTAGGGAGGAAACTGAAGGACTTCGACCCTGGCAAGGTGTGTTGCACCTCTGTGTTGCTTGTTTTCCTTCAAGTTTTTTATGGTTCTTTATATCCAAGATTCATATTCCTGAATAAGCGGCCTTCATTCGTTCCTGCAGCTTGCTGATAATTTGGAATGTTACTGATGTTTCATGTGAAGCATGTGTACTGGAATAGGGATGTTTTTGCGTTTCCTTGCTTTGGTTTAAATCTTCTTTGCAGAGCTTTCGTATCCTACATGTGCAGATTCTTCCAATGGGTAAAAAACTGCCTCCACGTTGCCGTATGCTCGCACATTGTTGCTGCTAGAACACCATTATCCTGTAATCCTTTCTCTCTGGTGTTACATGGTTTCTTTTCTTGTCCTCCCACATCCAGCTTTCGTTTTACAAGAGAGGGGCCACGTTTGACTAGCTTCTCTTGCTTTCTTCAAACCTGCAAGCTTTGCAGATTTGTGGAGCATTTGTACATGCCTTCCTTCATCTACCCTTTCCTGGAAGCAAGAAAGATGACGTCTGCAGGAAGCGCTGAATGCAAAGCACATTTGTTAACCTTTTTACCCGCACCTAGACTGCTCAGGTTAAGTCAAGAAGCACAAATGACAATCCAAGAGAGCTTGCGGCAGTGGAAGGACATTGTTGTTGGTGCTCCTGGGATTGAGCGTTGAAGACAGTAATCGGATTGATTTTGCTCTTTATTCTTGAGTGATTCCCGCAGTGCACCTGTCGATTTGTTCAGACCTTACTAGGTTGTTCCAATTGTCAAGGCCCCCCTTTCGGTATGACATCTGCATTTGGTATTCTCAATCTTTTCTTCCCCCAGATACAAAAGTTGGTGGAGATCTGCAAGACGTACCGTCAAAAGCAGAGCAGCGATTCGCCTCACGAGCGCCACGACGGCCCCCCCAAGAAAAAGCAGCTGAAGAGTCCCCCGGAAGTGGAAAATCAGCTGCCTTTTCCACCCCCGCTCAACCTGGATAGCGCAACCCCCCAGGACGAGTACCAACCCCAGTGGGGGGACACTTTGCTGGCAGAATCCACCCCCTTCGGCGGCAGGTCTGACAACCTGGTCGCCGATCCGACGGGTTGGAACATGGGGGACTTGGCTAACGCTCCATTCGCTAACGCTCCATTCGAAAACGCGACCACGTTGCAAGGTGACGGGCGGGCCAAGGCCGAGAAGGGGTTACCCAAACCCGGTCTGGCTTACCCCAACCCCTCCATGCACGGCGAGTTGGCGCAAGCGTTCGACCAGAACTTCCTGGGGGGGCAGCCTCGGGATGAAATGAGCCTGCTCCCCTTCCCCCCCCCTTCGAACCAGTTCCTAGCTCACAGTGCGGCAGGCGGCCCAGGCCAGCAAACGTGGCCAGAACCCGGGTTTGACGCAGGGTTAGCCAACGGGTTCTTCTATAACCCAGCCGCGCACCCCGCTGCTTTTGGCGCGTTTTCCCCCCTGGAGATGGGGCTTCCTGCGGGCGGTGTGCCGCGCCCTGCCACGAGTAGTGGGAAGCCGCCTCGGACTGTAAGGGCGCTTCACATGAGGGGGGGGTGTACGGCGCCCTTCCCAGGGACGGATCCAAAAGGTGGGCGGATCTTTCCAAACAAACCTTGGTTAATGTGCCCGTGCTTTTCCTCTCTCTGCCGGATACTCTCGCTTTGATGGCGAATCCGGATGCGAGTTGAATGTGGTCTATGCTTCGATTAACAAATAATGTCTGCGAAGTTCTCCAATCACATTAGCGGTATCAGCAAGTTTCGGATGTTCAGCAGGCTCTGGATGCATGCCCTCTTTATCCCGGCTTTTCGATGTTTCCTAGAAAGACACTTGACGTTTCTTCGAAAACTGCGAATTCCTCTTTCCATCAGAATTGTGCGCGACAAGTGGCCGTCTGCAGTCATCTGAAAGTATCTGAAACTTCAGCCTTTACTCTCCGTTTCGCAATTTTGATTACAGGGCCTTTTACACGTTTTGCGTCCACAGATTGGTCTTTAGCTGCACGCGACGTCGCAGAAGGAGATCAAATCCGGCAAATGGCAAGTCAGGTCTTGGTCACTACGAATTGATGGTTTTTTTCGGAGCCTCTCAACCACGTGTTTTGCACTGACGTCAGCTGTCCCTGCCTGTGCTCTACGCAGAGTGGAGAGTGAACGAAGCGCCCGGGCTCTGGGTTCGGGGGCCGGTCACACCGCAGCCCATGAGGGGCAAGTTTCTCTTTGAGAAGGTGCTGACGGCCAGTGATACCAGCCCCCTGGGAAGGATCATTCTGCCCAAGGTAAATCGGAGGTTGATCATCTTACTGATGGTTTTTACCATCTTATGGATTTTCTGATTGCCATCGTATGGATGTTTTTGATTGCTACTTTCAAAGCGCCTGTGATTCGGCCGGGGGGCCGTTTTTGCCAGCGACATCACCCCCCGTTGGCCGTGACTTCGCAGAACACGCCACACAGAGGTGCGACGTCAAGACCCAAACTCCCGCCTCTTCGAGGTGCTGACATCATCTTTTGTCGTGTCTGACGTCAGAGCCAAGCGGAGTTGCATCTGCCGAAGGTTCTGGACAAGGAAGGGGGCCTGATTACAGTGGAGGACGCAGACCGGAATCGGTGGCAGCTGCGTTATCGGTAAGGGCCTTCTTCATCGCCCTTTTCGATAATTCCCCTCTTGACTAAAGTCCGTATGTTTTTCTTTGTTTCTCACTGTCCATGTTAGTGGCGCACGAGCGCTCTCCTTGCTCGTTCAAGTAAGGGTTGCAGTGTCGTCTCTTTGTAGATCCAAAACTCTTCCTACACAGCAGAAGAACTCGAAGATTGTAAGCTTTGTGGGCACCGTTTTGCAAGCCGGCCCTCGAATGAAGGCTTTGGGTGGCCCGGTCCCGTCCTTCACGTCACGATTAACGCAGAAGGTAATCGTCATGTCGAACTGCGGACCGTAGCCTGACGTCGTTTCGTACCTGTTCTGACGTCACCCTTCGCTTTCTTTCCCAGGTTCTGGCCCAACAACAAGAGCCGGATCTACGTGTTTGAGCACACCGCTGACTTCGTCCAGTCACGTGGCCTGCGCCCGGGGGATTATCTCGTGGTCTGCCGAGCGGACGAGGGGCATCTGGTAAGCACTTCCGTGTCATGTAAGTCCCGGTCCGTAGATATGCTTTTTTTCGGAAGCGGTCCGTGATCTCGAACTGGCGGCCAAGGATTCTGAGATCCATTCTGTGACGATTTTGAGGGTTCCGCGATGCTTGTGCATTTTTTCGAAGGTGTCGGTTTTCCGCGCATTGTGGAAGTGTGAGGAAACCATTGGTAGCAAAAGCCTCTCCCTCAGTCCCTTGGCTGGAGATCTTTGTGAGTCACCTTTGCTGTCAGGAACCTTCCGCTTCTACAATCAAACGCGTTTCAAGCGTTATTTCTTATTGAATGTCTTGTCTCTTAGGCCGGAGACTTTGTGTTCGATTTGCCTTGATTGCGCTGCCCCGCATTATATTTGAAGCCGAACGACTGTCCTTTCTGAAAAGCTGCGCGGCTTCTACACTTTGCGGTGCATTCACTAGGAGCTCCCTTTCTCAGCCCACTACGCTCTTTGTACGACGGCCCCCCAATTTGTCTCGATTTTCTATATCCAGTTCACATATAATCTTCGGTGTTCAGAACTCTCATGAATGCTTTATACTTACAGTTGCTGCCTCTGTTTCTGTGCAGATCCTGAACGACCGCCGCCGGCCCGAGTCCCCCGAGGGGGATCCCTCCGAACGGCGCGCCACGTCGGAGGGTTCGCGCTCGACCGTCAGCTCCGGTTCATCATGTAACCGTGGCACACCGGATGCTCGCACCGCCAGCGAGCATGCAGAAAGCGCGGCGCTGACGTCAGCAGCAGGGCTGACGTCATTCCGGGCGGGGCCCCCGCCACTGCCGCTTCAGCAGGCGGGGCGGCAGCTAAGCATGGAAGAAGTCACACGGTAAATGTTCAGTCTCTTATCGCTTGGCTTCCGGGTCTCGGGTTTCGGGGTTTGGCGAGTCCAGCACAGATCAGGTAGAGATGACAATATCTGAGCGTGAAACAAATCGCAAGCTCTGGGTACTTCAGGGTACAGGAGCTTCTCATTTTGACATTTTGATACGGCTTTGGTGTCTTGACTTCTCAGAGTGTGCTTTTCAAAGCCCCGCTGAATTGAAGAATAGTCGCGGGTTTCAATCGAGTCGAGGACCTGACACTGGATTGTAAGATCAGTAGAAACCTCAGAAGACCTGACATTAAGTCGTTTGACACTATGCAGGTGGGCGATGAGCGGCGACGGCCACGAGATGATGGATTGTGTCAATCTCGACCACGGCGAGGAGCCGCACGTCCTGGAGCTGACCCAGGAATTGCAGTCCCTTCACAGCTCGGGAGGACTTCCACGGTTAGGGTCATAACCCATGGGGTATCAAGCAAACCTCGGTTTCGCCCCTGCGGTGAGTTGCGCCGGGTTTTCAGGAGTTTCGTTGGTTAGAAGTTTTATTTGCAGCTCTGGCAAGTCTTTCCGGTTGGGTTTCGGATTGCCCGATTTAGAAGCAAACTCTGTTTTTCTCTCCACAGTGAGTGATCTTTGTCTCGCTGACTGATTCGGGCTTTTGTGAGGTCCATCTACGAACGCTACGACTACAAACGCCTGGCCTTGAAAGAGGCGGAAAGTGTTAGTCTGAAGAATGCATACCAAGGCTTTTGTGGCAGCCCAGTGGAATGTCTCGGTTGCCGAGCTTAGTATGGTCGCCCCCTGGGCATCATTGGCCTGCATTGGGCCGGCGACCAATTCGAATCAGAATGCGAAGGCAATCGCTTAGGCTTTGTTTGCTGGCTGAGAGTCCTTTCGCGGGCGTGTGAGAGTGCGCCTTTCCATTTTTTGCTGCTGGAAAATGGTGCAGAAATCAACGTAATGGAGGAGAATGGTCGCACGGCGCTTCATGTTGCTGCAGTTTCAAGCCGTGATTCTTTTTTTGATTGGTAGCTTTCTCAGGTCTGTGCGGGCAGAAATGGGTTTCAGGATCGTTGCTTCGGATGCAGGCTGCGATTCGATAAGGATTTTGAAGCAATCACTGAAATTGTGCCCCTTCTCAAGTTTGTCATCACATCCCGTCGAGCATAAGATTTAAGTTTCGCGTTTACAATTGAGCATCGGCTCACCCATCTAATAGCGGCCTCGCTTACAAGCGGCACACTTCTATTGTATGCAGGTTTCGAGGGTGTCATCCTTGAAATGCCGCGACGACCGAAGTTTCCTTCCCTAGTTCGGCCGATCTGTCGGTCCTGCATGGAGCCGGGACCTGTATAGCATCCCCTCCTCCGATGATCATTTGCGAAGGTGACCAGAGATTGACGTCACGACATCCGCTAATATACGCACAGGGCTGTACGCACAGGGCTGTAAACCACTGGCACCTAGCAGGCTGCACGCACCTGTAAAATACTTAGTCTGATCGAGTTTGATTGGCGCCGCGCATGCTCGAGCGTGGTTATCTTGAGGCCTGGGGGTTCGAAATAAAACGCCTGGAGCTGAACGGCCAGTTTTGGCTTTGCGATGGCTTTGCATCACTGACAGAGATCCCGTCAAAATATAGGGCGTAATTCGCGTAGGCAGACCCGAAGAACATATGATCGGAGTGATAATCTGGGTATTTCGATCAACTGAGCGGGTTACAATCTGCTTGTCATCTCGGCATCGGTTGTTAGATCAAGGCAACAGACATGGTTAAAATAAATTGGGCCTGAGTCAAAATTGGACTCAACCATATTGGGAAACGGTACGCAGTGTTATAGAATCACCGAGTCAAGTGTAGGTATACGCAAGTGCCATTGGCACAGTCTAGCTAGGAGTGTGTTGCATATGATACTCAGGTACAACCTGCAAACTTAAAACAAAGATGCATTCAATGCATATGTTCCGAAGTTCAGATTGGGGTTTGGTTTGATCATTACAATCGAGGCTTGGATCCGATATGATAATCGAGGTGTCAGTTTCTTTTTCATACATGATTGTGACCGTCGGTAATCCTCAACGGAGGCCGGCTAACTTTGCCATATTACAGTTTGTGGTATTGAGGTCGATCCTTAATTATGCTTCAGTGTGTACCCTAAAGATCTTCATGCAGTGCAGAATCGATAGAATTGAAGTGCATCCATTCACGCGGTAGGCCTCGATCAGCCGGCCTAATTGCCCGCGACCTCGGCGTGTGGGGCCGGGCAACCCCGGACCCCGGCGCCGTCGACTATAGTCACGACACTCGGCCGCGGGCATGCATGTGACTTCAAAGACCTACGATATGTAATTCATTTGTCGGTAAGGCGCAGCTGGTGTCACCAGATTACCTCATGCGCAGTTTGCGTGTATGAGTTTCCCCTTGAAGAATTAGAGTACGTCCGTTGTGTCCGCCTGCGTCCATGCCATAGCAATAGGTTTGTTGAAATGGACTGCATTCTTCATTCATCTAGCTTGTCATTGTCACTTTTGTCCTGTCCTCTGCATACCGTACTAATCTGTATATACGGAAAAAGCTTGTCAAACCTGGCTAACGATGGCGCGGCCTGCTCTGAATCTTTGATTGGATTAGAGTCGGAACCGCTTAAAAGCTGGAATCGCAAATTGTATAATTGAGCGTCCAGTCTGCTTCTTGCTAGGCATGTGAATCCGATCATTATACGATAATTAAAGGGTGATCACGCATTATGATGCCCTACTATACAGAGCTCAGTATTGCATTGTGACACTTGGAAGCCTGATCGGATGGAACATGTTTCTGATCGACTTCTTCTTCGGATATCGAACTTGCAATTTCAGGGACCGCAAGTGGTGAGAATGCCTTCCGCTCCGCCAATGATTTGTATATATCAGAACCGTTCAACGCGTCCTTTCTTGCTAGATTCCGGAGGACAAAGCGCGCAAAAGCCTGAGCTTGTTCGTATACAGTTGTGTAAGCTGCACATCTAGATACGAATGTGCTCTTCATCCTCAGTTTTCCGGCAAGCATTTGCAAAATGTACACAGTCTACTCGCTCGAGTGACACCTTTGCCATCCTCCTGTCTCGACCGTCGAGCACAGAAATCTGCATGGTCCGGTCATACACCTCATGTTCTGTATGTTCGAAACCTCAAGGCTCGCGCCATTATGTGTCTTTCTAAGTTCGGTCGTTGATTATTGCATCATATCCATCATTCATCGGATGTATTTTTGGTCAAAGATGGGGTCAATTTGCCAGGTGCTCCGCACTGCTTTGAAACATATGCATACCACCCGCAATGCTGCTTCACCTCAAGTTTGAATCTCCGCACGAGCCGCATTTCAGCGCACCGAACATGGGCCTAACATACCCCGTACCACCCGCATTGTATGGTGCATCAGAGTGCTGGGTTGGACTAATGTGGCAAGAGCAGATTTGGTTATGCGGTAGCTAGGCCTTCAGAAGTGAAACATTGTATGCCATGGAGGCTTAATTATGGCCCATGTCACTGGCCACATCGTCTTTGAATCAAGAGAACATCGTGCGGCCCAGCAGGTCACAGCACTTTCCGGCAATCAAAACAACATGGTCCTTCCGACCTGGCCGAGCCAACCAGTTCGTTAGGTACCGGTAACTCTCGTGTGACCTAACGGGCGTGTGACCTAAGATACGAATCACCCGGGCACTTCAAACTAAAACCCTAACCCAGATTATCACCCGCTCCGCACCCCAACCCACCCTAACCACCATACCAAACCCACCCGTCCCCCGGGTGCCTTGCTTAGGTCACACGAGAGTTATCGGAGTGTTCGATCGTTACCGTACTCGAAGAGGGCATGCAGTGCGCCGGCGAAAGCTTCGGTTCATCGAAACGACGTGTAAGTGCAAGCTTCCCTTCCGACGTTGACGTTACTTGGAATAGACTTACCAGATGGTACTTACCGCGCGGCAGCCTACAGTCACTGTGAGATTTCCAGTGCAGTCACTGATTACTTTTCACCAATTAATATCCCCTGCTCTTAAACATTTGTCCGACAGGGAGCCGGGCATACCAGGGCAAGCTGGTCGGCTCACTCCGCCTGGCACGTGGCCGTTGATTCTACTCACACTAGCTGGGCGACAAAGCTTGTTGGAGAGCACCGGACGGAGCAAAATAATCTTGCCTCGATAGCGATTCACGCGTTCAGCTTGAACAGTGAACCGGTCTCAGCTCGTCTCAAACATTGCAAAAACAAGAGTCATAACGCCACTTCTTGGCAGGTACGCTCGTAGCCTCGCAACTTCGAGTTATGTAAACCATTCGTGTCACATGCTGCTAGTGCCAGAAGTCGACACACGTCGTTTTTCGTGGCGTTCTCGGGCTCTGCCAACCACAGAGGCTCAGCGGCCGCGGTTGCTTTAGCAGCGTGTCTCATTCAACTTCAGTAATCTGTGTTATGTCAATACCCTCATCGCCCGTCGTAACCATCCTTATTAAATCGTAGTTGAGACGTAGCCTCTCTCGTAATTTCTGTCGTTAAATCCTCCGTTTTTCCGCGGGCTTTGAATGACCGCTCCGCTCTGCAGTGTCAGTTACATGAAGAACCTGATATGCAAGGTCGCCGAAAGGGCAGAAATCTCTGTTTCCAACATATCAATTGGTGGTTCCAGGCCTTAGCTCGCCCTTAACCCTTGGGGTTAGCCCGCCCATTCCTCCCGGTTCAGCCCTTCCCCGGGCCCTTTCTCCGGGTCCTCGAACCCCGCCCGTTCGCCCAGCGCCTCTACCGACTCCACCAAAAAACGTAACCCCGCTACGCACTCGATCAGAGTCGACGCAAACTTCACGAGCGACATCGCACACACTCGTTCCAACGTGCCGTCGTAGTGGGTATCCGCATAGTTATCTACAAACCCAGTTCTTAACCCTGGGTTATCCCCCCCGCCCATTTGCGCCCGGTTTCCGCCCCCGGTGTAGCCTTCCGAGGCCTCGGCCAGTCTTTGCCGGCTCAAAAGAAGAACCGCTTCTGAGCCGTCTTCTGACGTTTGGTCGCTTCCACTGTCCGAGCACTCCTCCGATTCGTCTCCCCCGACCGCATTCCCACCGCCGTTAAAGCAGGAGTAACGCCCCGGCGAGTCGCCTCCCGACTTCCCCAGATCAACCGCCCTCAGATCGCCCGACCTCAAATCGCCCACGTCTCTCAGCCCCTTTGCCCACTCCCTCTCATTTTCTCCACAAGCTGCTCGGGATTCCTTCCCGGTTCGTTCCGGCGAGCTTCGACTGCTCTCCTCTCCTTTCTTTGGGCTCTCCTGAAAAACGCCCACGTCTGCCCCTCTTACTTCCTCATCCTCTCGGTTGACACCCCCGACGAATTGCTTCTCCCCCGGTTTCGACAGACCCTCAATATCGTTCTTCGGTGCGTCCCTGTCCATAAGCAGGCGGTGCGCGTTGTCGAATAAACGCATTTGCAGGCGCAGCGCGGCGATCTCCGCCTGTTGAAGCGCCTCGTGAAGCGCGAACCGGCGCATGTCTTTCAGGCTCCGGTGGAGGAGTCGCAGGACGTTCCCGATCTGCAGCAGTAAGCGTCAGCTATCAAGGTTACAAACGCTGTGCGGTTTTGCACGCGTAGAATTCTACCCAGCTTCGCAAACAAGAAGGTTTCGCCACATTTCAAGGATTCGGGCCAGTGGTTTCTGGACGCTTCCGATCTGCAACCGAGCGCGTTTGAGTTGCAGGGTTTCCTGAGAAACTGTTGACGTCACTTTCTAAATCGTAAAAACTATATGGCGCGAAAAGCCTGAGTTGGATATGTAAGAGCTTCTCAAATGCGTGAAGAGTCTGCAAGATCCGAAACAGAAAGCGCAGGACAATTTCTGTCGGAATCGTTTGGGCCACTGTACGTAAAAGGACCTGTGTCAAACCTGGCGACTCGCGCTTTCTCGAGCCCAAGAATACCTTAATAAGTTAAGCCATCTTCAAAGTTCACGAATGCTTGAGATTCTTCATGGTGCGGAAATGATAGCACTTTTATGACGTGCAAGCATCATCCTGACCTTCTTTTCGAAATATCTGACAGATGTGCAAGGTGATCTTTCCCCTGAGTTCCGTTTGTTTTTCCTGTCGTGTTCTGTTTACTGCTTCGTTTCCAAACGTACGAAGTAACGCGCAAGCTCAGGGTGCGCAAGGATCGAGCGGCCTTCGCTAGTGCCCACGTTTCAAGAGTACCGAGAAAGCTGCCAGCGAGGATCGATCTGCGCAATCTCTTCGCGCAAAGCATGAGCTTGGGTGGATGCCCGTGCGGCCTTAACCATAAGATGAAGTGGATAACAAAAGGGCTGACTTTTGCCATAGCTCTGACGTCTGATTCTTACTGAACAAAGCTGGGTCATTCGCTTACCGTAAGCGGACGGTCGCACATGAGCTCACCTCTTTACCAACCATTGTCATCTCCTGGGCAAAGATATCGCGCAGAAGTTTGGGCGCCTGGATCTCCGCGCGCAGACAGCTGTCCAGCGAGATGATGACGTAGACCGTGTAGCGCAGGTTGTCGGTGACGTCACCGTACAGCTCCCAGGGGTAGCGCCCCGTGAACTTGCCGTGGCGCGGCTCCCACGAGATGACGCCCATCTGCGGAGCCAACGAAAAGCGGACACGTGGCGTTATTTCATATGTGGTGTATTGGTTCGAAGAGATACTACTTGCAATTGAGGGAAAAGGGCAGGGCCCAGCTGCAAATATCTGAAAAAGGAGCTTTCTGCTTCTAGAAAAGGCAGGGCCTGTGGCAAGCAAGACATGCGTACTTGAATTTGCCGCATTGGGCCTGACATCCGCTTGGTAAGGGACCATCACAAGGTCATCGTTCTCCTCTTTTCGGGGACGGCGGTTAGCGCCACCTTTTGCGGATCGAAATAGAAGCATAGACGAACTTTTTGATTAAACGGTTGCTTTTCCACGGAAGTCACAAAGAAAAGGTGCGAGTCCTAAAGTGAGGCTTAATGAAACGGGTAGGATAGATTCAGGGCCAAAGAGAACGGGTCAATGTGAGTACGACGCAGCTGCAAGCATCGCTATTTGTCCCCCTCTGTCGACGTCCGACTCAGGTTTCCTTGATTGCAAGATCGTTGACACCTGGATTCTTCCCAACTTTAACACCTCGTCAATGTCTCATAAGGTTTATAGGCTGCAATAACATCTTGCGAATCATCAGTTGACACGTGTCTGGACCTCACCATTTTGTCGACCTCCGACTCGGACATGACGATTCCGTGGTACAGACTGTGCAACTGGTCCTCGATCTTCTTCCCGGCAAGGATCTCGGGAACCGGGTCCAATTCGGTGCCTTTCGCGTACTCCTCCACGCATCTGCGAACGGATCGCACCAAAGGTGGGGATTCATTGGAGACTAATGTGAGCGTTATCATAGAGTTTCGAGCTTTGAGAAAGCGGTTACATTGAGTCCCGTTCCGATACTTTCTTACACACCCGCGAAGGCTCTCCCCGAACGACATCAGGATAGCAGTCGGAACTTGCAGACGTTTGACACTCAGGCAAAGTGTTCCTAAGCGAACTTGTTTCAGGACTTTCCCCAGAATATGGAGAAGAATAGCAAACGAGAAGCTCCTCTCCTAAAGCTGTTTCAACGATGCGTCCGCCATTTGGCGTCACTGATCAGGTTCTCTATACGCTCTCATAAAAAGGTTCTGACCAGACGTTCTCCAAATCTGAGCTCACTGAGACTTCCTTTGTGCATCCAGGATGCACTCTACGTGTCGACAACAATCTCTCGCTGGCCGCTTGAATCCACCAAGTCAGCGACGCAACATCTTCTCGGTGGCTCATGCTTGAGGCTTAAAAGTTTTGGAGGCCTCTTATCAGGCACGCGAGAAAGCAAACGGGTGATACTTCAACCGGAGTAGCGCCCCCCTCCCGTTCAGATATTTTACTTGGGACTCTATCTCGAAGACCTCAGCAAAAAGCCTGCCTGAGTTCTCTGCCTACTTTCACGGGACTTTGAGTCTAGTAGCCGATCTCAGCGTTCAATATGCTTGAAAACTTGTAACTTGAGCCTTGTTCAAAGACCTCTGAGGATGAATTTTCTCAAGGAGAAAACCCACTTTTCGGCCACGTCAGCAGCCGTCTTGAAGTTCTTGCTGACCAGCGCGTGCAGATTGTCGCCGGCAAAGTTGGGCTTGACCATCAAATTCACGACGGCCGCCAATACGAACCCTCCCACGATTGTCAGGAAACGCGCCATCGGCATTTTGATTGCCTCCCCCGCCTGCTTATAGCCGCCCAGGATAAGCAGGTGGGCGGTTATGGTCGCCTGCACGAACATGAGGAGACTTAGGGGCTGACATATCGCTCGGAATAAGCTAAGGAAACGGACACGGAGATTGAAAAATGCGCTTTCCCGGTTCCGGCGTTCGTCGTAAGTACTCGGTGCTGACTGCGAATCCTAGAAGGCTCACGCTATGGCTTGTTTCGAATAAGAGTCTTGTTGAATCTGTGCGGAGCAGGTCAGCATCGATGTCGCTTTGGGTCTTGCACAAAAAAACCGAATGCTGAGATCATATGGTTCTATCGCTCTCAAAATTGTACATGAAGTAACATTCAAGGGCGAAGACTCTCCTGTTTATCACTTTGTAGAGGCAAAAGGTCGGATCAAGGACAGAGGAGGATAATAGCTCGATCGAAAGTGGACTTATGTAAAATGGAAGGGAGACCGTTGGGAAGATAGAAACATAAATAGGATAGACACAGAGCAATGACAGGAAGCAGAGAGGGAAGGAAGTGAGAGACAGACAAAGAGGTAGAAAGAAGCAATGACGACAGGAGATGGAAACGAAGTTCATATAAGATGGCAATGGAAACTCCACGCACAACAAGGAAAGACGAAGACAGGAGTTGGAGGGAGTAGACTCACCATAGAACACGCGTAGTTCCACTGGTCTTTCAGCGGCGAACTGAAGCGCAAATACACTGGAATCCAGGTCGTCGTGAATATGCTCAGCAGTACGAAGTAGGGCTCAAAGGCGCCCAACAGCGGCGCGGTTCGGTTAACCGCAAGCGCTAACCCGCCCGCAATCACGGTGCCCATGATCCGGTTAAACCCCTTGTTTAGCGACGTTCCGATGTTGCTCTCGTAAACCAGAGCTGCCGTAATAACCGCCCAGACTCCGAACCCCTGGAAGATTTTCCGCAGGGGTTCGACGACGATCAGAAGCGACGCGAGACAGCATGTGAACCCGACTTTGCTGGCCAGGATCGCGGTCTTCTTCTCCCACCGGAGGGTTTTCACACCGCCCCCCCAGGCCCTCTGCTTCAGACTGTGAACAGCCCCGACGAGCGCTTTCCGTGTCAGCCCAATCCGGGGGATCCCCCAAACCGACCGGTTACTCCTTAACCGGGCGGTATCCGAGTCAGCATCCAGTAGATTCTGGCCCTCTTCCAGCTCGGGGATCTCGCTCGGCCGTCGACTGACAGACGGGACGAAACTTGAAGTTTCTCCCGGCTCTAGTTGCGAGCTCCACTCCACAGCTGAACCAGCGACGGATCCAGCTCGGCTCCTGTACTTCCTGTGCTGGCTGCGCCCGAGGATCCCCCGAACCGACCCCAAAATGGCAGAAGACCGCCTGCTCAAACCGCCCGGGAGGGGGATCCCCGAGTCCTGGCGAGCTGAGTTTTGGCGCGAGAACTGTGGTGGGGGTTTTGAGAAGCTGTTGTTTGAGCGGTTGGGAAGTTTGGGAGACGGTTCTGCGGTGGGGGCAAACCTTGAGGGTTCTGGAGCAACATCGGTGACGGGAGGAGGAACTAGAGAGGGAAGAGGTCTTGGCGGGGTTGGGGATTCAGGAGTGGCGTCTACTGGCGGGGACATGGTTGCACCCTTGTTTTTGTTGCTGATGCTATTACATTTTTTTGTCAGTTGTGACTTAAAGGAGACCGTAGCAATCCTTAGAGTACATCGGCCGGAATGGCTTATAGGAGAACGTGTCTAGATCAGCTCTTCATTAACGATGGGGTTCGATCAGATTGGTGCCTGAGTTTCACAGTATTAAGGGGCACTGCTCAGCAGCTCAACAGCTTGATTGTTCTGAGCTGTGCGGCCGCTGTAGGCTAATATTACAAACTGCTGCTTTGCTAGTTACAAATGGAAGCGGGGGGAAAGCAGCTCAAGCTCTAAGCAAGTTCTGCTCTGCTTAGACACATTTATTTGATGAGTCAATGATCACCTTAGCCTCAAAACCTCAGCGTGCGCCTTCTGACTCTCCAGAGCTACGCATTCGTGCGGTTTGACCTTGTGTCCTCCTGGCACCCCCAGTTGAAGATGCTTTGTCTAAACTGCCTAGTCTAAACTCCAGAGAGCGGAGTCCGCTGCTTACATTTCTTAGATGGTCACTTCTTTCTATAGGAAATAGGTATATCTATACACGCTCAGGCACCTAGATTACAACCGCAGCTTGAAATTAGCACAATGATGACACGAAGAATGCCTCCAGGATTTGCTACTTCTCATATCATGATAAGCAAAGGAGCCCTTCCTGTTGACATCAGTTGCTGAAACCCAATAAAAGTGGATAAAAGGCGTCTTAGTCTTGTTTGGAAACCACGTTCACGGTTCTACCCAGCCTGGCAAGACTAACCAGAGCCAGAGTAACCGTAAACCAAGCTGTTAGGCGCGCGCACAAGGTAGAATTTTGTATTCCTGCCGTCCATTGTCCAATACTAAAAGATCGACTGTCCTAGTTTGCTGCCGTGTTACTTTGGCTGTTGGAATTTGTAGCGACTTCCCGACCAGAGCGCTGCCTAAAACGTCGCCGGAATCGTGCTTGCTTGCTTGCAAATGCAATGCCTGTGGAGGAATTGGAGCATTTCAATTTCCATTGGCATTGGAAAAGAAAACTGAAAAGGAGAGGCATGCAGGCAGCTGAGAGCTCGTTTGTCCTGATTGGAAGTTTGAAGCGACATGGAGCTATCCTGAGCAGGGCTTAGAGGATCCATTTGTGGAACGACAGAATCATCCTCTTCATCGACGATTACTGCAAAGAATTACACCACTGCAGGAGCGAAGGAATATAGACAAAGCAGAGGTTATGCATAGTGTCAATTGGCGCAGCTGCTGGTCAACTGAGTGCACCTATGAGGAATGGAGATCAAGTGAGCACCAAAGAAACTATGGAGGGATTTAGATATTTTCTTCGTGAGCAGCGGTGGTATACACTCTGGTTAGCTTTGTCTTCTGTGAACAATTCAACCCATGGCATCAAGAAAGTGTTCAGTGAGGTAAATTAGGAGACTGCCTTCAATCAAGCAGCCTTGAAAGCCCCTCAAAAGCTTAAGCCTGTTCTCTGATACCACCTATTAGTCACCTGATTAACTGAGCAAGTGGAGAAAGTCTAGACCGTTCCAAAATGTTTTCTGACCCGAGCCAGCGTTCTTCCAAGCGCTTCTCCCTTCTTCTCTTAGAAGACGGCGATGATTACGTCCAGGATTGGGTGGCGACCGCCGTATGCAGAAACCCTAAACCCCTCCCAAACCAGAGCGGTCAAACCCTCAAACCCCCGGCATGGGCTCAGCCAGAGGGCGTGCTCAAAGGCCGGCTGCGCTTATGCTCTCGGAGTTTCTTCTTTGAGCCGGATAACGTGCGGATACCGATCCTTATGTTTCTGCTGCGGAAAGTGGATAAGATTGAGCAGGGGGGAGCGGTTTCAAACACGCTCGGACAGCTTAAGGGGGAACTTTCCGAACAGCCTGCAAAAGATAGTCCAAACAGCCGCTTCAGGTTTGGAGAGGTTGCGGACGATAAGGGGGGAGACATTATGGTCCAGATGCAGCTGCTCGTGAAGATGAAGGAGAACGGGGTGGACGCGCCTTATATGTACGAGAAAGGGGATAGCCTATGGGCGTTCCATCTGGAATACGCGCCGGGCTCGCAGTTCCTGGGGCAGGCGCAGCGCTTGTTGGAGATAAGCCGTTGGGACTATCATAAGCGGGATGCAGCGCTGGCGGCGATGGCGAGGGAACGAGAGGCGGCCGCAAAGTTTGACACGAGCCGGCTGTCGGACTTGAGCGAGCACATTCTGCTGGACTTGCCGGCCGCACAGGTGGGGACTGCGTATAAATTCTTCTTCCCTTTTCTTTGTGTCTGAATGTGCGTTGCGTAGTCACAAATGGATAAGGCACCTCATGAAAAGGTCTCTTCTCTTATTCCTGGAACAACAACCCAAAGGCCCCTCGAATATTTTTTGTCGCTGGCTGCCCCATCGAGATTCTATTTGATGTACATTTCCTTTCTGGGAAAGTCTTTCCTTCCTTCTTCCTCACTTCCATTTTGAACCGCACCTAGACTGGGAGCCCTCAGTCACAGATGGGCACTTTGGGTGGTTGTTGGTGACCACTCAGCAGGAGACAGATTGCGTCATTGCAAACCAGACTGCCACAAGTCCAGGGTTTCGTACCATCAACGGTGTTGATAAGATGGTACTCATTGGTATCTGGCCGCCGTCTAGTTGACTGGTTCTGTGGTTTTTTTGAATCACCAGAAATGACAACGCTTCAATGGGAAATGGGCCAGTTCGTAGCCTCTAGTGTTTTGAAGGAGTCCTGTTGTCAATCAATGGCAGCAAAATGGTTGTGTGCGTCCTGCGCTAGCAGCGTCAGTCCTTCACCAGCTTCTTCGGCTCTGTTCTGCCCGCACAAGGATCTCTTCCATTGTTTGTCTTTCTTCCTCTTTGTCGCAGACTTTTTCAGCGTTTTCCGTTTCCAGACCGTTTTCCTGGAGTCAGACGAAGTTTTCTTTATACATTCTTTGATTCGATCCACTCACTCTTGATCATTTGGAGGAGCCTATTCTACTGCCTGACAAAAAGGTTTTAGACCGGACGGTACAGATTGTCGTTTCCTGATATAAAACAGATTCACTTTTTATGCCCTCATCCCGGCTGGATTCCGACCGCTTCAAATCCTCGATGTGTTTTCTTACATGGCTTCGTCCTCCTCTCGTTCGGCTCTCTTCTGTCCACCCTTAAACCAAGTTCTCGTTCCACCTCCCTTTTTCCCCATGCAGGTGACCTTCTTGGTGTGAGAACCGAGCCGCCTCATCCCACCTGAAATTGCCCCTTAACTGCTCCGAAACATTCTTTTGCCTCCATCCTTTCTGACTTCATTCGATTACTTCTGGATGTAAGTTCCTCAACCCCCTTCCTTTTCTTCTTCTGCAGGTCACCCCCCTGGTACGGGAACCGGGCCGCCTCGTCATCACCCAGTCCCGGCTCTACTTCCAGCCCCTCTACAATCTCAACAACGACAGCCCAGTTCGATCACACCCCCTCAGCGTTCTTCTGGCCGTCGCTCGGAGACGACACTCCTTGCGTCATGTAGGAGTCGAGGTATTCTTCGGCTACGAGAAGGTGGAGGGGTTTGGGGGTCTTGGCGCGGCCGGGGGTCCTGACGGGCCGAGCGCGTTCTTCACGCTTCAGAGGTGGGCGTCATCGAGCTTGCATCTCTCGCTTTCTGCTCTAGTTTTACTTGTTCTTTTCGTCCCCGATCTCTTTGGCTTTTAAGCGTATCTTTGTTTCTTCGTTTCTGTGACGCTTTTCCGCTTACTTGTTGTTGGTTTTTGTTTATATGGCTCTGCGAAACGTCTTCGAAGTGGAAACTTGAATTTGAGATACCATGACATGAAGCCGAGTGATTGAGGAAAGTCGCATCTTTCACGGGTTGATTTGTGTTGTGTGTCCAAGGACTGCCGCCTTGTTGGTTTGAAACGAAGGCAGGAAGAAAATTGCATGTGGGCAAATTCGAGACATCATGAGACAATGAAGGAGAAGAGTAAGCGGCAGAAATGCTTGAATGCAGAAAGCAGAGGACCGAAGCTTCTTGGAGTGCGACTCCTAAAATGCAACGGCTGCAGGCTGCGATCCCGCTGGTTGCCGTTGGATTAGACCATGGGTCAGCCATTTGCTATGTATTGAAAGAAGACAAGTAACTTGTTACTTGTGCAGTTTCGAAGAAAGAGAGGCCACAGTAACGCTCCTCCTGCGCCAGATCGCCGCTCGCTCCTCCCCGGCTGTCGGCAGTATCCTGGAGCTTAACCCTCGCTGGCAAACTCGGGTTATGCGCGCCTGGCAAACCGGGTTGATCACAAATTACGACTACCTCATCTACCTTAACCTCGCTGCGGGCCGGAGCTTCAACGACCTAACCCAGTGGCCGGTTATGCCCTGGGTTCTGGCGGACTACACGAGCACTAACCTGGATCTGCTTAACCCGAAAACGTTCCGGGACCTGGCGAAGCCCATTGGGGCACTTAACCCGGCGCGGTTAGAGATGGTTAGGGAGCGGTGCCGGCAGATGCCGGAGGGGGAGCGATTTCTGTACGGGACGCACTACTCGACTCCAGGGTACGTATTTTCGTTTGCAAGGCTTTCACAAGGTTTCCGATCTTGTTTAATAAGTTCCACGCGCTTTCGCTTTCAGCTCTCCTCGCTTTTCAATCTTTGTGAGGGTTAGTATTTTTCTGAACATACTTTTCTACTTCAAGTAGGTTTCTTACTGGTCTAGTTCGTGGCGCTTCCCCCTCAGATGCGCCTGCAGACCGGCTTCAGTGGTCCTGTGTTGTTTTTCGAAAAGGTGCAAGGGGCTCCTGGTTTTAGCGTTTCCGTCCTTACCATGCGCAGAACCTGGTGAGTTCGTTATGCTTTTCCGTTTCTTTGTTTACCTGTTATTTGGTCCCCCTCCCACCGGTTCCCTGCCCAAGTGAGCTTCTCTGTTTTCTAAATACGTGCTCTAGTGGCTCGTGCGCGCCGCCCCAGCCCACATACCCCGTTTGGAAGCCGTCCGCTGCGACGCCCATATGAACCCGATCTCAAACCTACTGATATCACGCTTTCAGCTATCAAGAAGTGATTTATTTTTCCTCTTTCTAGATCCGTCTTTACTGGCTCGTGCGTGCCGCCCAAGCCCACGTGCTCCGCCTGCAAGCCGGCCGGTCCGAGGGCCCCTTGACTTTTAGCGCTCAATATCGCCCCTATCAGATTCCTCTGCCCCTCTGGGTTTGAAATTCTCGGATCTATTTTCCTCCTGTCTCCCAGGTACGTTCTTTGTTGGCTCGTGGCACACGTTCCGCCTGCAAGCCGGCCGCTTCACTGCTTCATGACCTCTAGCCATCAAACCTACTGAAAATAAAGTCTTTTGCGATCTTTGTTTTCAGGGTTCCAAGAATATTTTTCTCCTTTTCCTAGGTACGTTCTCTACTGGCTCGTGCGCGCCGCCCCCGCTCACATGCTCCGCCTGCAAGCCGGCCGCTTCGACGCCCCCGACCGCCTCTTCCTCTCCGTTCCCGACTCGTGGGACTCCGTCCTCAACAACCCTGCTGACGTCAAAGAGCTCATCCCCGACTTTTTCGCGCTGCCCGCCGACTTCCTGGTTAATCGCCAGGAGCTTAACCTGGGGGTTAGGCAGAACGGGACCCCGGTCGGCGACGTGGCGCTGCCGGCATGGGCGGATTCGCCAGAGGACTTCATTCGGAAGGTGGGTTGCGTAATATGATCTACTAATTGCTTGAACTGGGCTCCGTAAGGTTGTCAATGGACTGGAGCTTAACGCAGTGTCAAGGGAAACTGGACCCCACTTGGTGACGAGGCGTTGCCTGTGTGGGTGGATTTGTTAGAGGACTTCATACGGAAGGTGGGGTGCTGAACTGCCTTGTTTCGAGTTTCGGATTGGAGAAGGTTAACTGCCAGGAGCTTAGTCCGAGGGTTAGACAGAGCGGGACCGCGGTCGGCAACGCGGCGCAGCCGACAGGAGATTCTCAATTGAAGGCGGATCCGCTTTCTTGAAACTGGCTTTCTTCTTAACGTGTGATCGACATATGGGAAGTCAAATCTGATGCCAGGATCTGATTTAGAGGTAAGGATGAGTTGCTCTGCATGCAAAGATTGGAGCCTGTTCTTTCTGCACCACTGCGCCTCGTTGGAGAGCGATATCGTCTCCTTCCATCTTTCACCTGGGGGTCGACCTCATCTTTGAACATAGTGATTCTTGTTTTTTCCAAGGAGTTTTTGTTGAAAAGATTCTCATACGAAGAGAGCCCGTTTCCTTTTGCAGCACCGAGCGGCGTTGGAGAGCGACTTCGTCTCCTCCCACCTGCACCTCTGGATCGACCTCATCTTCGGCCATAAGCAGCGGGGCGAAGCTGCGCTCGCAGCCGATAACCTATTCCACCATCTCACATACGAGGGGGCAGTCGACTTGGATAAGATCCAAGACCCGACGCAGCGGGCGGGTTTGGAGGCGCAGATCAACGAGTTCGGACAAGCCCCTCGTCAGCTTTTTACGGTCCCGCACCCTCCGCGAGAGACGAAAACCGGGACGGAGACCAGGTTAACAGGAGGGTTTGGGGGAAGGTTAGTGGCGGAGAGCTGTAGTCGGGCGATGTCGATCGAGTTGTTGGCGCGGATTCTGGAAGTGGTGGCGGGAACGGAGGGGGAAGAAGAAAGAGAACGGAACGGGGTTAGCGGGACCGGGGGGTTGGTTAGCGAAGGGTTGGAAGACATGAGCGAGAAACGGATAAGAAACGGTGAGGCAAACCGCGATAGAGAGGAGCGAAGAGAGGGGGGCGATACGGGGATATTAGGAATCAAAGCAGAGCTCGGAAGAGCCGGCAGTCAACAAGAGCCATCGTCGAAGCAACCCGGTTCGGCAAACGGGGAGCTCAGAGAGGGGCATGTGGAGCGCACAGAAGCGGGTGACGTCACGGCGGGAAATCTCCATAATGCTGACGTCAGCACGAGCGAGGCGCTGAAGCGGCTTGAGTCGGACGGCGCTCGGCTGGCGCGATTGCTAGAGGAGGCGGAGGATCTGGAAGAGGAGGCGGGAAAGGGGTTAGGACGGGGGTTAGAGGAGGGTTTTGGGGCCAGTTCTGGAGGGGGTTATGGAGAATTCTCAGGGACGGGCGAAAGGGAGGGTCTAGGGGCGGGTTCGGAGGCTGATTTGGGTTCGGAGGCGGTTTTGGGGGCAGTTTCGGGGCTTGATTCAGGGGCGGGTTTGGGGCAGAGGTCAGAAGCGGGTTTGCGGGAGGGTTTAGAAACCGGATCCACAAGAGAAGGGATGGAGAGAACGGATGCGAGCAGCAAAAGTGGTTTTGCAAGTGCGTTCCGAAACCCCTTTGAGGCGAGCAAGAACCGGTTGAAGCAACTGGTGGCCCCTGGGAAGCCCCCCGAAACGGAGGCCCCGAAAAGGGGGTCGCCGGGGCCTAGGGCTTTGACCCCCCTGGAGGCGAGCAAGCAGCGGTTGCGCGAGCTGATCGCGTCTGGACGTCCCCAAGAGAGTGGGTCGAGTGAACAGAAGCAGAGTACTGATTCTAAAGAGGCGCAACTGCTATCGGGGGAGGATTCGTGGGTGGAGGTAACTGGGGAGCCGGGGGATGTAGAATCAGTAGCGGAGAAGACGAATCTGGCGGCGTTTCCTAAGGCCGTGGAGAAGAGTTCCGTACGCGCACGGAAAGTCAGCGCCGTGCCGACGCGGCCGGCGAGGCTGGAGGGCGAACTAGAGCGGAGCCAAATGTCCGCCGTCTCAGAAACGGATCCCCCCTCACATGCCCCGATGGAAGCTCTGGAAGAGCATGCAGAAAACGGGTTTGAGGCCGGGTTAGACGGACCCAAGTGGGTTCCGGGGCATAACCGGAATGCGTCGCTGAGCAGTGTCGCGAGTGATCACCGCTTTTCCGACGGGAGCGATGCCGCTTCCGTCGGCCCGTCCCGCGCCGACTCGGTCTCCGAGACGGACCTCTTCCTTCGAACCGCTTCGCTCCGTATCAGAACTGCACGCTCTAGCGATGAGGAGCTGCTATCAGAGTCTGCGCCGCGAAACGCGGAAAAGGGGGTCCTTTTGCGTCAGAGGCTCCAAACCCCTCAAACCCTGAAGATTCATCGGGGACCAGCCACGGCGCTGGTTCTTTCGGACGAGAACGCGTCCGACTCGATGACCATGTACAGCGTCGGACGGGATGGGTTTGTCAAGGTGTATTCTATCGCAGGTAGGCTGCCGCACTTTCTTTCTAAACTTTGTTTCACGTCTAGCTGACAATTAGTGAGTGTTTGAAGACTCTGGTTGTTCAGATGCGGAGAGTATCGCAGGTGGTCTTCAAGAAATGGTACCGTTGCCAGTTGAAGAGCATGCAAAGAAAGGTGCATTGACACACACGTTTGGGATGGTTAACGTGAGGAAATAAAGCCGTATCAGGTACAGCAATGAGGGAAGTCAAAGGACGAGAACAACGTAAAGGGCCTTTTGCCAGGTGCGCCTTCCAGATTCAGGAAGTAGGTTGCCCTGCAAAGTTCCCTCCACCGGCCTGACCTCTAAAACGTCCTGGTATTGAGGAGTCTGAAAGCAAGCAACGTCCTAGAAGCCGCAGTCGCTGTCCGAAAAGAAAGCCTCAGCCGAGTAGTACTTGTTCAACCTCTAAACGTTGACTTTCGTCGTTGTTCTTTGCAGAGGAGTTCCAAGTGCGAGCAACTAGGCTGGGGACGCTTCCGCTGAGCTCAGTGGCGCTCGCAGAGAGCACGGACGCGCACCCGACGGTGCTGGCTGGGTCGTTTGACAACTGCGTCTATGCTTACTCTGTGGACTACGGGCGGGTGCTTGGAAAGGTGGGTCTCTCTGCAAACCACCTGTTTGTGTCTTTACTCCTCCTCTCGTTTCCTATTAGTTACTCTTTTCACTTACAAGAACGCTAACATTTTAGCGGGAGCTGAGAGTGCTGGAGGATCGGTCGATAACTGCGTCAACGCGTTTTTGGTGGTTTTGGAAAAGGTTGGGCTCTCATCGTATCATCTTCTCATGTCCTTATCTCTGTTCTTGTTTCCTGGTTACTTCCGGTCCAACTACAAAAAACTGAATTCACCGGCAAGAGTTGGGCCCGTTCGACAACTGTATCTTCGCTTAATTGTTGGACTTTGGGAGGGTACTAGGGAAGATGTGTCTCCTTCACATATTGCTTCTCCCCTAGTCTCGTTCCTCTCTTTCCAAGTTTCTCTTTCTTCTAGTAAAAGCAGAGAAGTATTGGTGGAATCCGGGGGTGCTGCATAGGTCATTCGACGACTGCGTCTCTGGCTACTCGGTAACTACGGGCGGGTATTTGAGAAGGTGGGTCTTTCAACACATTGCTTCTTCTGGTTCCATTCTTCTCCAAACAGGTTCGCTTCCAGTACAGATTCTATACAAGTGGCACGAGGGTACTGAAAAGGTCGTTCAACAACTGCGTCTACAATAACTTGGTGGACGATGGGCACGTTCTGGGGTGGTGAGTTTGAAACACACTACTTCTTCCTGTCTTTGCCTCTTCTCCTGTTCGAGTATTGAACAACGATGGAGGGCAAAAATCGAGGGTGTTGCACGCTTAAAACTAGTGTTTTCTCCTTTAAGAGAGCTGTCAGGAAAGCCCCTTTGTGGCTTTGCCAACCTTGACCTCTCGATTCCTTTTCACAGCTGCGCCCGCGTGAAGACACCGTGTCGTGCCTCAATCTCGTCGACCGGAACGAGAGCCGCCTGATGACGTCATCCTGGGACTGGTCGCTAAACTCTAAGCAATGACGGTCTTTGTAGTCCCAAAACACTGTAGATTTTTGTGACTCACTGACATCGTTCCCGTCTTGCTTTCCCAGCTGCGCGCGCATGACGACACCGTGTCGTGCCTCAAACTCGTCAGGCGCAACGAGAGCCGCCTGATGACGTCATCCTGGGACGGCTCGCTGAAGGTCTGGGCGATGAGTGCTTTGTATAATTTTCCTGAATCACATAGTACTGTCTGGCTTCCTGACGGCGATTTTCCGCCCTCTCTTGACAGTTGCGCGCCCATGACGACACCGTGTCCTGCCTCAAGCTCGTCGGGCGCAACGAGAGCCGCCTGATGACGTCATCCTGGGACGGCTCGCTGAAAGTCTGGGCGATGGACGCGGGCAAGGGGGGCTGGGCCGGCACGCTGGGTGGCGTCATCAGCAGCAGCAGTTTGTTGCCGGAGGCCGAGATGGTGGAACATGACGCCGCGATATGGTCACTTGAAGTAGACCGGAAGGGAGATGTGGCATTCTCTGGCGCGGAAGACGGTAAGACAAGCTCCGTTACCTTCGCTTTTCTTCGCCAGACTTCCACCAATTTTCTACTGCAAGACACTGTGTTGATCTGAAGCAGCAGTCTCTTCGTGGAGGCGGGAATGGTGAAACACAACGCCGCGATATGGTCACTGAAAGTAGACCGGAGGGGCGACGTTGCGTATTCTGGCGCGGAAGACGGTAAGACAACCATTTCATCTTCACTATTCCTTTACAGAGTTCCAGGTTTTCTGACCGGCCGCAGCAGTCTGTTACCCGAGGCGGAGATGGTGGACTACGACGCCGCGATATGGTCACTGGAGGTGGATCGAAGAGGGGACGTTGCGTTTTCTGGCGCGGAAAGACGGTGAGAAACTTTGTGTAGAGATCTTTGGCTTCGAGTCTAGCTTTGAAGGGGCTTTTGGCGGCAGTCTGTTGCCGGAGGCGGATTGGTGGAACACGATGCCGCGATATGGTCGCTCGAAGTGGATCGAAGAGGGAATGTGGCTTTCCGTGGGGGGAAAACGGTGAGAAAGTGTGCTGTCGGGGTCTTCGCCTATTGGACACATTACAGAACACAGTCGAGGCACATCGGCTGAGTTTTGGTATGAGTCGTCGACAAACTCGAAAATGCTCACGTTTGGATAGTCTGACGTCACGTATTCCGATCTGCAGGCAGCGTGATTGCTTGGGACCTTCGGAAACCCGGCCCCGCCCTCTGGCACGACACGGGAAGCACGCACCCCATCTGCTCGCTCAAGCTTGCGTTCGACGACGTACACTTACTCATCGCCGCCACTGACGGGAGCCTCCGATTGGTGGACCTGAGGAAACGCGGGGAGGCGGCTGCGGAAACTAGAGTGGGGGAAAAGATTCGGTGCTGCGAGATGGTCGGTGGTCTCGTTCTTGCTGGCAGGTAGGCCCTCGAGAGTGGCTCTGAACTCCTGAGTTGTCTAACGTCACTATTTCGAACCACTCTGCCGAAGTTGTGATTTAGGGGGTTACCATAGGCTACTTTCCGTTCTCTTGGAGCGGTCAAGCCTCGAGGATTCAAAGAGTCGCTAAGACATCGTTTTTGGTGGCTGCTTGTTTTCAGCCGTCTCTGCTTTCCTCCCCCATTCCCATGACCACCCGAAGCTGCTTTTCAGACGGAAAAGATTGAAGCGACTCTGTAGACTTGCAGTTCATTCTTCTTTCCGTCTCTTCGCAGTGAGAATGGAGCCGTTCACTTTTGGCCCAGCGGACTTTCAGACGCTTCCGTCATTTCGGACCACGGCGGCAACTCGGAGCTTACACCGCTGTCCGACCACAGCGATGCAATCACGTGCCTCCACGTGGCAGACTCCCGAAACGGTCAGGAAGGATTCTTAACAAGCGCCAGTGAAGATGGTACTATCCAGCTGTATAAAATAGTTGCAAGAGATCAACAAGTGTGATGAGATAGTTCGCAGTCAAGCATTGGCATTGCTTTAGCGCACGCAGGTGGCTGCCAGGGGGGGTGCATGTCGGAAGCGAGTGGCCACAGTAAATGTTTCAGCATCCTTGCAATTGATGGTACTGGAACGTCGGGTATCATGAGCCGCCTTCACATCGTCTCTCGTGGTTTGATGCAGTGACCTGCAATGATGACGGTATACCCTGAAGCGAGCCTGGATTAAGAAGTTATGCACCATGAACATTTGCATGCCCGGTACAGAATGGCACTGCGATTGCTTATTTCTGCATGTCTGGTAAATGCAAATCGATTGCATTTGTCTAGACCGTCTGAGAGATCGAGCTGTGCATGAATTCATGGACATGTGGCGGGCGAGCCCGCAAGCCAAGGTGGCATGCCTAAATATTGGCAATTGAACATGCTGCAGGCCCGGCAAGAGGACATATCGAGACTCGCGAGTATGCCAGCCATCATTGCATGCCAAATGCTGGCAGTGGTCGATCTTTCAGTCATTGATATAGTACCCAATAGCCCACAATTTACGTTTGTTAAGATCTGGGCCGCGACTAAGTTCAAAAATACAAGCTAGTGCCGTGGGTCACAGTATCGCTGTCTATCAATCTATAATGTACACCCGTCTCATAAACCGCGCAGCACCTACTGAAATCAAAAGAGCGCCGTAACCCGTGCTGGTCAACCTACAAGCTGCCTAACCAACTCTTGGTCCTGAGCTTCCTGATCGCCCAGGCTCTTCAGAGGACCGTCACTGCCCCAACTCACAAGACTGGGCACGCCTCTGATAAACTGGGACAGCTTTGGATCTGTTCTTAGTGGGTGAGATGGGTCTCTCCATGTTGGACGGTCTCCGACATAGACCCGTAGAAGGTTGATGTGCTTTGAGGAAGCGGCGAGGGATTTGAGGATCTCAGGCTCCCCACGCACACAGTCTGCGGTTTAGAGCAAAGCAGCTTCTTGTAACAGATGCAATATCCTCATCATTATCCTCAACCAAGCTTCAGGGCCATGTTCAAATGAAACCTGATTGTACTTCATGTTTGTCCCCTCAACGGCTAGATGCAACGCTTCTTTGCTTGCTATTGACAAGCCAGCTCATTTGCTGAATGCACACATCTCGAATCGAGTGACCTCCGATACAAATTAAGTAAACAGGTCCCTCCTAATAAGAGAGGAGATCTTCCTTGCGGCGATTCGTCAATATAGGCGTAGACTTTCAACATGTTCACAGGCACCCGACTATTCTGCCTCTTAAGATAACAACTGCCGAAAGCAAAGCTTCCAAAGCATCCTTGTAACCAGCATTGGTCACAAGTCTGAAATTGAGTTGTGCCTTACCAGGGCACCAGCTTGGTTTGTCCTCTGCAACGGGGCTTCCCAGGAAAAGGACATATAGATGACGTGCGCCGCTCAGTTCTTCCAGCATTGGATTCAGTTGCGATGCTGATGGGGCTGTAAGGACTTTTGTTAGCACCATGATGGCACACCACCTGCCAGGAAAACTTAGCTCAACTGCGATTCTCAAAACAGGCTAATCATGTCGAGGTTTTAAGCTTAAATTTTGGGGAACCTTATGCAATTTTGCACGCTTCGCTGGCAGCTTGCTTTAGAGACTAGCAGCTAACCCTTCTATCTCTTCGAGCTCAGGGAAGTTAGAGACTGTTCTAAAGCATCAGGAACAGGCCCAATCAGAATTGGGTATCAGCTGTCCCCAAGAGAAGGACTGAATTGTACGCTTCTTCCAGCTCATCAAGCAAGCAGCAGAGAAGAAAAAGGATATTACCTGCAGACAGCCTCTCTTGCAAGAGTCCTCAGATGAGTCTGCTCCCACTGTTCTGCTCCCTCTCTGCTGAGGAATCTTGCTGGGGCTCTCCTGCTATTAGTTCTAGCTCACCTCAACGCCTCAATTGTTCTAGAAATTACAGTAGAATCTAGATGGCCCCTCCACTGCATGAATATTGCTAGCATGGCGGCAGCTATAGCCTATAGGCGCACTGAATTTTTGGACTTTTCGGGGTTGCGCGGGCGGCCCAGGCTTGGTTACCGCGGCCGCTGAGTGAAACCCTTGATCGGACGGACGTCAGCTGTGCCATCACTGAGATGGACGGCTGTGAATTCGGCCCGGGGTTTAAGCAAGCAGTCAGTCCGCTTTTAAAGTTTTAAACACCACACTTCAAAGTTCACAGGCTGTTCACTGACGCAAAACGGACAAAGCAGCCGAACTTTTCTCGGAAAAAGTTGCGGACGCCTGTGCGCTACTGTTCGGACCTGGAACCGCCGACAAGCAACCGGGCCCCCCTGTGACATTAGGGTTATGTTGCAAGCCTGTGACGGTTTTTTAGGGTCGTGCAACCTTATTGTGACTGCACTACGATTAGGGTTATACTAACGGCTTGGGCATATTCTTAGGCTTTTAGTGTTGGTGAGGTTCCCGGTAGTCTTGAATCAGTGCCCGGTTGGTCAAATTGGACGGTGTCCGCATCCGTTTTTCCGAGAAAAGTTCGGCTGCTTTGTGCCTCTTGCTTCACTGACACCGATCTTCAGCTTGCTTGACAGTGTGCACTGTGCACCCTGCTGGTCCCTGTCCCTGCCCTGCATGATGCATCTGCAAGAGATCCTTTGCGGCTGCCAGGACAAGAGGCGTTCTATTCTCAACATTTCTGTGCCTCTCGCAGCAAGCTGCTTGTTTTCCTGGTTGGAAAGGCGCCCTTCTTTCCGTTTCTTTCCTATGGTGGTCGTGCCATCTTGCCACTAATGCTGCATACGGGTGGCTGGCCAGGTTCTGAAGAACGCCTGCAATCAGTTTGAGTTTTTCCAATTTGGAGCATGGCGAGTCCCGAATTCATAGGCGATGCCATTGACGCCTGGAAAGCAGCTTTCAATGTCAGGCGTGACGTCTTTGAAGCCGACACAGTGCTCTCTGTTTTTCATATCCATTTATGGAAGACTTCACAGCTTCTCGACTTTGCGCAGTGTGTCTGGGCACTCGTCACAGGAAGAGAACTTGAAGAGTCGGAATCAGAGTCAGAAGTTGAGTCAGAAGTTGAGTCAGAAGTTGAGTCACAAGCAGAGTCAGAAGCAGAGCAGTGGGAAGCCGAGTCAGAATCTGCGTCAGATGCAGAGACGGAAGCGAAGGCAGAGGCAGCGTCAGAAGCAGAGTCAGAAGCAGAGTCAGAAGCAGAAGGTGAGGCAGAGGCCTCACATGCTGAAAAAGAGGATGCTAGATTGGTTGGGGTCAGGTTCTTGGACTTATTATGGCGACAGGCGGAGAAAGAGCAAAGCTGCTCGTAAGGCTCCTGTGGGGTGGTGCGACTGACTGGTATACGCCAGACGTGATGGAGGCCAGCGACTGTGAGTTCCGCTCGTTTGCAGAGGTAGGAAACACAATCAGCGCCCTCTGGTGGTAGCTAATGGTGTCGTTCAGCGATAGCTGAACCATTTCTGTAGACTTATGCATCAAATATCATGTGTGCTTTTGAAAGCAAGCTTGGGTGATACTGCTGTCCGCGCTGTCGCTGTATACAGTAATTGCTGTGGCACTACTGCAATGTACCAAGCAATTCAAGAATCACTGCAGACATTGGCTGAGAAAGTGCAAAAGACTTCCTGGGAAAGCAACAAAAGTACAATCCGTTTGTGGCGACCAACAAAAGCTGATCAGCTCTATTCAGCCCGTGGTCAGAGAAGCCAAAAGGAGCGCAGTTGACAAACTAAGTCTGCTCACTCAGCAGGCAGCTCATGACAGCGTTCGTCAGCACGTTGCGCCATTCTCAACCGGACTCTGGGTTTCTGCGATTCCCACTTTCAAGCATGGTCTCCCCAAACATCAATCAGAGACAATGACCTCATTCTCGAGGCTGATGTCACCTCTGAAAGTCTCTGGAGCAAAAGTATCAAAGTGATCAATGTTACTCTCATAGTTACTGATTAGTTGCATTTTTTGCAGTTAACCGACCTGTGGTACAAGGTGCATTCTGACCCCAGGTTGGCCAAGGCGTTATCTGTTGCAGTGGTTAAGGACGAGAAGTGGGGTGCCTCGCAGATGGTAGACTTCTGGAAGCACATGACTGTATTCAAAGCTGTCTGGAAAGACTTCACCATTTCAGAGTTGGGCCAGCTTCTTCGCACAGTGATCAGGAATGAGAGGGCGCAGAGCAGGAGCACGTTCAGCTCCAACAGGGACTCTGATTCGGTGAGTGGAGACCACACTTTGAAATTTCGTGTGTGCTCTAGAAATCTGTACCAGACCACTCTCCAGAACAATCTATGTCAAAGGAGACTAATGGATTCTGACGTGGGTTTAATATTAGGTTCTGAGGATCGCAAAAGCAGTGTCTGATTGATGATGTTGCATGTCACACCCAATCTGGAGTACCTGTTTGGGTTGTTCAACTTTTGAATGAGAAAGTCTCTCGACCATAACTGTAATACTGAGCATAATACTGAGCGGTTGCCAGCGCTGCCCAGCTTCTTGGTTCCACATATTGCAGTCATTGATGGTTACAAACTGCTCTTACTCAGTAATCTGCAACGCTCTGGGCAGAGACTCTCCCGAAGTGTCCCCAGAATGCGTACAAAGCTTCTGTTCCCCAACGCCCTGAATTGCCAGTAACTATCACTGAAAGCTACACGGCCCACTTGCACCAGTTGGTTCGCGGTCCGAAAGCTGCTAGAGGTCATCTTTCTGGTCAACAAAATGCACTGTTTTCCACAAGGACGGACTTCTTGTCGTCCCGCAGGAATCAGATGAAGAGGGAGAAGAGTCTGAAGATGACAACGATGACAGCTTCGCTGACGCATTTGAGGTGGCGGAGGAAGTCTGCGGCATGTTTAGCTGCATCTTCCGCGTGCTAGAGCTCACGCCGGCGCAGCAGAAGGACCTGTTCAAGGCGGCTGTGAAAGGGCTATTTGGTGGCGAGAATCTCTACTATCTGGTTGTGAGTGAGCACCTGCATGCCCAAACTTTGTAACCATCCTGAACATAGCTATTCCTCGACCTAGTAAAGAAGCTCCTGAAGGTTGCATGTCTAGGAAGTGAGACGTGGATCCAACTTGATGCTCATTCTCAGCATTTGCCTCAGTGCAGGAAGGCAATTATTCTCGATAAACAAGCCCTTGTTTCAGATTGGACAAGCCTCGTGTCAGTCCACACACCAACCGAAACAGCAAGTGTGGAACGTTTTCAGATTGCTTGTTGTGAGACATATACATGCTTGGAACACACAAGGACTCTCCTCCGCAGCCGGTTGTCATGTTGAATCACGCCCTTGGAGTTTTTACATTAATGGCTACTTCAGCCTGTTTTGGGATGACGGTGACTCATTTCTGAGGCCAATTACGGCCTAACCAACCTGATTAACTACTGACGTTTGGGTCTTACACGGGCAGGCACAGTGCAAATACTCACCCGTACTTTGGCGCTGCAGGAAGCAGGTCTTGGTTTAAACCTGACGTCCAGCGAGTTCCAAGAGCTCAGGCGAAAGGAGTCTCCGAAGACCCAGGCTCGGATAACAAAGCAGATACAAGAGGAAGAGGCCTACTGGTGCGACGAAGACAGTCCCCAGCCCAGCGCCCCACCCCCTTACGCCTCTCGTAACGGCTCCTGCTGTTCGAACAGCGCGAAACGGGGCTGCCTGAGGCGGCAGTGCGGCGGGTGCTGTAAAAAGGGTTTCGGTGGGGCGTGCGCGGTCCACTTAGGGACCGTCGCGGCGGCAGTAAGAGCGCCGCCGGCCGGAAAGTGCGTCGGAACCGGGGCTGCAACATCAGCGGCCGCAAACTTGTCCTCCGAAGCCGCTCCGTTCGTCCCCGCAACTTCTGCTCCAGCGTACCGAGAGCCGATTTACACCGCGGAAGAGACCCGGGTGGTAAAGAGCGAAGCTGAGCTCGAGAAGGTGCTGACCGCCGGGGGCGCGTTCAAGCGGGTGATCTTCCGGGACTTCTACGTGAAGCCCGAACAATTCGGGCGGATGGTTGCGCTGTTTGGGGCCGGTTTGGAATGCATTGAGATGAGCGGAGGGGAGGGGTATCAGCTGAACGGAGAGTCGATCCGGGGTGTGGCTACGGCTTGCCCCAAGCTGAGAAAGGTGAGAGAGTCGTGCCGAGCGCGGTCCATTAGAGTTTTCGGCTACAGAAAAGATCGGCTCTTGGAATTCCTTCCTTTTGTGGTCGATGGGAACCACGACGAGGAACCCCCTTCCTCTATTTGGAATTGGCATTGAGGAGCCTGCGTCACCAAGATTATTGAAATCCCTCTAGCTGATCCGCGCTTCTGCTTAACCAGGTCGCTTGAGCTGCCTTCTTGTCTGAATGGTCGTAGGTCAACTATCTGGGCACGTTCGTTTTGCGAGTGGGCACCCTTTCTGTGATTCTCGCATTCAGAAACAGCGTCTCATCTTTGGCTGTCACGATCATGCAGTCGACATAGTCGAACATTAATGTGACACTATCGAAGTAGCGGCTGAGAGGAACATACACGCAATATTCAAGGTCCAAGGCTCGACTCGAATCTGCGGGCAAAAGCTTTTGGTTTACACCTCAAATTTATCTGCGCACCTTCTTTTTGCAGTTTTCGATGGAATCCGCCTCCAGTATCAAAGACGACGCCTTCGCTGCGCTCCTCAAGAGCTGCCCCGAGCTGGAGTACCTAGACACCAGAGGGAACGACAAGGTTTCCGGCTCTCTTAGCGACAAGTCGTTCAAGTTGCTGCAGACGGATAGCACTCTAGCGCCGAAACTGAGAAAGCTGTACGTAGTTGACCAGCGCATGAGTAAGAAAATAGCAGAAAAACTGGTCAAAATGCGGCCGCAGCTATTTATACAAGGGGGTGAGAGTGACGGCGACGGTTATGCATCTGCAATGGTGATGCAAATGACGGGGGCGAGCTATGGGGACGGGATCTGGGGAGTCGGAGCAGGTGCCACGCCGCCGAGCTTTGGTTTCCAAAAATACTCGAATTACGACTTCTTCTAGGGCTTGCTCTCTCGATATTGTCATGTCAGTATGGCCAGGTCTCTCCTTAAGACGAACGACGACCAGAAAGTATATTCTCCGAAGGTCGAAATGAAGCGAGCCTGACAGTAACGGGGTACTAAAATCAATTTGGACGATTTGCGCAACTATAACGCTTACGAAGCCTTGATGTTGGAAAGGATCCCATCATGATTCACTGACAACCTTTTTAACTAAGCTGTCTCTTCATCATTGTGTCACGAACTTCAACAACTCCTCCACATAACCGGGTTAGTATCAAACATCAAAGATCTTATTTTCGACCCGGCCGGCCCTCGCGCGGTGGCACATTGGTCCGATTTGCTTAGACTATACCTCATCGGTGTGAACGGACGTGCTTTTGTTGGATCGACGCGAAGCGCCTGACCTTCAATGAGCGACTCGAGCGACTTCAACTTCAAGTCTTGCTCAACACACAGCTAGAAAGCCTCCAGCTGGGTATTAACTTTCATCATCATTGCTGCCTGTTCAATCATTGAATCCAGCCCCATTCAATGAAAGTTCACATGCCAAGCTACAAAGTTATAGCAACGAATATATCCGACCGCGGCGCGAACTTAGGTCAGATATCCCCGACCCGCGTATGCCAAATTTACGTCATGGAGATTCATGATGTAGATTCTAAAGGATCCGGGGCTCGCCGTCGGACATTGGCGCAGCTAGCTAGCTAGGCCCATGCATGGCGGCAGTTGTCAGAATCATGATCAGACGGTTAGTAGTTGATGGCGGCACAGAAAATGCTCGATCATGAAAGATGTGCATTGAACCGACTCCGCTCCATGCCAAGCCTATAGCCGGGTAATAATGATAGACACTTGCGCAATCAAAAACATGTCGATAAACTAATCGCCGCCGTCAAAGTCCTGCATGATCAGGATCTGACGTCCAAATCCATCAAGAGCGCTACAAACCTCGGGAGACCGTTCAAAGCATGGAAAGATATCAGCTTCAAATCAATTTGTTGGCTAGATCCCCACAATCCGTTTCATGAGCTGCTACATCGATCCTTGTTGTCTCGTGCATGACCCGCAGAAACGAACTGAGAAGGCTTATCGAACGTCTCTACTTTTAAATCTATCAGAAACGACTGCATCGACCCTCCAAAGGGATCACTCGCGGCGCACTTACACCCACCACTGCGGGCACCAGTGAGTCTTCACCCTCCGCCCACTGACGTCTCTCAATATAGTTTAGGGTGCTCCGCAAGTCGCTAACTAATTTCTCTGACTTCGTTCATTGTTTTTTGTTCTCAAGGTTACGTGAACCGGCTCAGTGGTTCCCGAGAGCGCAACCGTGCACCCGTGCGGAAATGCGCGCGCTACCTTCCGGGTTAACATCTAACCTCTGACTTCGTTATCAGCACAACCCCTTGTTCTAGGTTGCGCAAATCGGCTCTGTGGTTCCCGAGAGGCCGCGTGCACCAGAAACTCACGCGCCACCTTCCGGGTTGCCTTCTAACCACTTCGTTAGCAGCGCAACCCTCTAGGTCGCGCAAACAGGCTCCGCGGTTGTCGAGACGCCGCACGCGCCCGCGCAGCAGATGAACCTGCTTCCGTTCGCGTTGAAGCACTGGTTGGGGCGGGCGGAAAACGCGTCACAAACAGTGCTCGGGGCGCCAGAAGCGGAGGCGGTGGGCGTGGGAGTGGGCCCGGTAGAGGCGGTTGGGGAAGGAGTTCCGGTCGGGGAAGGAGTTCCGGTCGTCGGAGCAGCGGTGGCGGAACTGGTGCAGGACGGATTTACGCCCGGAGAGGGGCACTGCGTGGGGCAGACGGAAAGATTGTTCAGTGTTTGTTGGCCGGGCTCTGTTTCTGAGCGGATTTGAGAAAGGAGCGAGAGCAAGTGGCACGAGAACGCTGATATTTGTTTTACTCCTAACCATGCTGATGAACCAAGATTGCACCCGGCTCTGAGGGGATAAACGACTTCACCCTGAATGTTACGATCGCAATCACTGCCCGAATCGAGTCTTGAACGAAGGAGCAGCTTCTAGCCAGCCCGTTGCTGAAAATAATGAGCTGCCACAGAATCCGTTTGAGCTTCGGGTGGACATTTTCCCAACTTTCTGGTCAGAGATGTAATCGTACTTAGAGATGAGTTTTCAGAATCGGGCCTCGAGGTCAGAGATCCGGTCTAGAACTGGCCATTTTAAGCGTAATTGTTGTTAGAACGTCACGCTTTTCTTCCCTCAGTGGGCAGACTGAACGAGTCTGGAAGATTGTTTTAAGTCGGTTCCCAGGGTCCGCACAAACTGGACTCAGTAACCTCCAAATTTCTTACTTATGTGCCGGCAGGCAAGAGCCCTTTTGAGGCTTGAATTCCAAGCAAAGAAACATCTCGATCTGGTTCGAAACCCGCTCTCTTTACAACGACACTGGTCTTTTGTTGAGAAGGCTTTTCGCAGTACCGGCGACTATGCAGAAGCTCTCTTGACAGCAAGAAACTGAGAGCACGCACAGCAACCTCAACTCAACCCGAAAGCTTGGATGGCTTAAATATCCTCATCTCCTAATCTTGCTGGTTCTGTGTCAAGTACTGACGATAACCTGAAGCAACGGCAGGAATCGTTTCGATCAATTTGACACCGCGTTCGGAACAGTATGAGGGTTTTAGTCTCAACCAAACTTGGTCGAAACGCATCCAACCGGCTTCTAACCAGAATGAATCAGCAAAAGGCCAATCAACCGGATTGGGTATAAACCCGGCTTGATTGACAGTACTTTCTCCCCACGTACCTGCCCGGGGCAGCAGATCGACGCCCCGCCCGACGCGGAGAAGCATTGGTTGGGAGCGCTTCCATACGGGTCGCACACGCCGTTGACCGGGGGGATCCCCCCGGGCGCGGACGTCCCGGTCGGTACCGGGGTAGCGGTCGGGACCGGGGTCGTCGACGTGGCAGGGGAAGCACTTCCCGTGGGGGTGGGGGTAGGATTCGCCGTGACGTTAGGCTCAACCCCCAGGGAAAGGTACTCGGGGGAATACTGTGCAAACTCCTTTTTCAGGGTTTCGAGGACTGACCCGTCGTCAGGGGGTAGGATGTTGAGGTTAACGTCACCGAAGACCGACCCGTTTCCAAGAGCGAGGTAGTTGATGGTGAAAACGGCCGGGTTTGCTAGGGGGACGTTGGGGTAGAGCGGGGAGGGCCGCAGGGGGCCTTTGATAACTAGGTTGGCGAAGGCTTCGGAAACGAATGTGAGCTTGGGAGTTGAAAGGTCGAAGATGTCGAAGTAACCGGTCGTGATTGGGTCGCCTGCATTTGGAGCCACGTGTGCACACGATTAGCAGAAGTTGTACTAGTATAGCCAAGCAGCCCGACCTTTGATTGATTCGAGCGCGAGGCTTCATTCCAATATTTTGTAAGGCAGCCATTGAGCAGAGACTTTACCGTCTATCTGTATGAATGAAGCGAGCAAAATAATTACCGACGTTTAATGGTAGAAAATTTTGCCCTTCTTCGAAACCAGGAAGACAATCTAGGGAACAGCTGAGCATCTAGAAGCTGGGCAGTTCATTAGGGATACAACTTGCTCGCTCTTTCAAAATTCGAGCTGGGCGTCACAAGATTTAATGCTTTAGCCGTCTAGACGACCAGATGAGAAAACCCCGATATTTATCAGATCACCTCAAACCTGATCATGCCCTGTTGCAAGTAGGGGAGTTGGATGGCGTGTATTGATGAAAACAATGCGTGGAGCAAGTCGTTTTTAACGCATTGGCAAAACGATAAGTCCAAAAGACTTGGACGCATATTCTTGGCTACCTCACGTAATCAGAATTTAGAACAGGCTTACACGCGTTTGATAATCGAGTCAGCCAAGGGCTTGGAACGATCACCTGGCTTGCTGTTGTCATGGAGCTCAAACACGAGAGCGTATGTGAGGCTCTGAACCAGGGCCAGCGTCTTGAAGAACTCCTCCTGAAAGTCCACACCAAAACAGTTTGTAAAGTGGTAAAGCTAACGAAACGGACTGATATGCGAGTCGGCTCGTGCCCACAGGAGAGAGAGTGAATGTTACAGTGGCGGTCACTGTGTGCTTGACGGTATGGACAATCTAGTATGGTGTCGTAAGGGCAGATCGAGAGGTTCTTCAAAAGGTTTCTTAGATCGACGCCCTAATGGCGGTGATGAGAGAAATCGTGCTGGAGAGAACGAGTATGCGCTGCAAACAGTTTGACAATTTGTGAAGAGTTCCCTACAATGCATACATCCAATCACACAACCAATCACACAAGCACCTCAGAGATCCCGCACCTCAGCACTTGATCAGCTACTAGCCTCCTCTCCTACATTCTGGCCTTGTTGTGAGCATACGTCCTTCTGACAAGCTTGCCGTGAACTTCCCAAAGAAACAGATTGACAATCAAATCGTACTTACCTTAGAGAGCCCTGACGTCTGCAGGGGACGAGACGAACTGAAGTAAAGAATGCCCAAGAGGAGGTAACCCGCGGTACTGGGGTCTGTGAGGGCTTCAGTTGGGTACGTTCCAGTGAGAGTGTCGACACCGGAAATCTGCAGGGCGACCGTTATGCGTCTTCCATCGGACAAAGCGGTTTCGGTGACGGAACCTGCGCATGCGGAAGCGGAAAACAAAGTTGTTCTTGTTGTTTTGTAAGAAGTCAAAGTTTCTATAGCCAATTGATTGCTTAAAGATTCGAGCAAGATTCTAGCTACACTCTGCTTGTCAGGTGCCTTTGGTGATATTTCGTTGACGCTGCTACCAGTGGGCTCTGAAAAACTTGAAATGTTGTACCTTTGATAGAATCACTCACGAACGCATCCGTTTGGATTGCACCAGGTACTTTCAGTTTCCTTTGCCTAAACCCAAATGTGTTGCCGTCACCACGCTAGGCAGCAACTCTGTAGTTCGATCGAGGCATGATTGGTGCCCTGAATGCACACACCGCCTTCATCGCTGGACTATTGCCATTGAAGGAGGAGTGTCTTTGTCCACAGTTCTCATCTATCGGGTACGTTTCTTCCTTTGGAAAGCCAGTAGTAACATTTCTCAACCACACCCGGGGTGAGTGGCCGATTTGTGAGGCAGGAGAGTCGAACCCTGTGGTTACAACTCCGTATACCAGGCTTAACCCACACGCAAACCTGGGGTTTTGCCTGATGCTGCAGCTCACCTGTGATTGTGGCAGGCAGTTTGACATCCTGGCCATTGACGTTGTAAACCCCAGAATTGCAGAGGTCAATTCCTACTATCAGTTCGCCTATGTCGAAGGGTAAGCCGGCGTAGGCGGGCTCTGCTGAGTCGGAGTATTGATCTAGTGTGCTGTCTGCAAAAGATGAAACCAAGATAAGGTTTGGGTTGTCATGGAGCTTCCTGGTGAAAAGAACACATATGCATACAGCTACACATAGACTTATGCAACCACGCTAGTGCACATTCCAGGTGTCCAAAATGTTCCCAGTTTTGCATGGCATCCTTCTTCAAGAGTGTAAGGTGACAGGACAGGCTTAATGCTTCTTGCATCTCCCTTAAACTTTCATGAATATGGAATCAAGTGTGACGGATGTGACAGGGTTCTGCACAACATGTCTTCATTCTTAGTTCTTGTAAAGCTAATCAGTGGTGGCCAATATTGTGAGCCTTTGGCCAATACGAGTGCAGATCACAACATGATGCAACTTGCAAGTCACATGTTCAGAATACCTGGCATGGCCAAAAAGTGGTAAAGCCACCCCTTTCCACCAGCAATCCATTTGAGTGTGAGGAGCAACAAAAGCAGTCTGACGGAAGATATCATCTGATTCTCTCACACGTTGACCTCCAAGGAAAGGTGCAGTATGCATTATGCATTATGCATCAGGCTTTCAAATCCTAACAATCAGATTACCCTGCATTGTGCATTGTAGAGCTTCCAGTCCATGTTGGAATTGGATTCATTCCATGAGCACTTGCAAGCACAGAATGAGAATGAAAGAAGACCAGGACACGGGAAACTCAACGGGAATGGAAAAACCTGGTTTTGCAGAGAAGCACTGAGCAGAAAAACATGCATATGTGAGGCAATGCACATACTCACACACTGCTTGCAAGGCCATACTAGGTCTGAGCTAGAATGAGCAGAAAGTTTTAGTCAGAGCTCTCACCACGAGTGGGCGTGCACCACGCCGTGTAGTCGCTCACAACGGTGTCATCCAGCAGCCTCCGAATCCCAGCGGAGCGCAGGGTCTGCGCCGCCAGCATGCCTGGGGCTGGGAGTTCCGCACCCGACACTTTCTGCATGACGGGTGCAGCTGCCAGTATCACAGCGAGGAACACAAAGGCGAACCGCTTCATCGATGATCCCGAAGTCAGCTGGGAATGCGCAGGCTTTCCGCAGCGCAAAGCATGCTTGGAGGAAGAAAGGGGAGCCATGGCGCTTGCACAACAAGCTTGCTGCAGCTCCTCAGCTTGTGAAAGACAAGTTCTGGTTTGTGGGAGTTGTGCGAGTCATGAGAAATGAGAGGGGTCAGTGCTGCTTTTAACTGGGGAGCTAGCGACCTAGAGAATGTCCCTGAGTCCTGTGTATTATTCAAGGAAGGGCAGCTGCCATGCAAGCAACTTTCAGCGCCTTCAAGACTGAGGCCGGTCTTGGGTGCGTGCCGCAGCTCGAGCTGGATCAATTGCAGCCAGGTGCAGTGTAGCGTGATGTCAGCGTGATGTGCTCAATTTTAACCAGCTCGTGCTGGCATTGGTTGAAGGTTCAGGCTCTGCCAATACACAGTCAGCAGGACACCCCTCAGTGTGAGTATCTGAGTCCCAGTGGTACAGGATACGGTATACTAGATCATACTATATCTACCTACCCCAGGCATGATACATCCCTGACATCCCTGACATCCCTGACTGAGTCCGGCTTGCGCGCGACTGCACTTACTCTGTGCGAGACTCTCGGATCACGCACAATTATGCACTGTTCAAGGCTCCCTGCCAAATTATAAAGTAGCACAAAGTAGCACAGTAGTCAGTGCGAGACTAGACTCTCGGATGATGCACTGTTGAGTGTTGACAGCTCCCTGGCCTCTGGGATTTGAGCTGTTCTGCATGATGCAGGGCGCAGAATGTTGCGGGAATGTTGTGTATTAACCCCAGGGCCAGAGTCCAGGGCCGCTGGCACCGGGGCGTCCGCATTAACTATAGCGAAAAGGACCGTTAACCGAAAGTGGTGATCGAAGATAAGCAACGAGTCTGCGCGCGCGCAAGTTGAAGCATCTCTTACCGTCGATGATTGAAGCGAATAAAACGAACGGGATCGATTTCTTATGAAGAGTAAACAAGTCACTTGACACTATTTTTAGCATTGCTGGAAAATGTATCCGATACAAAAAGCCGAGAATCGTTACTGTTGAGTTTAGGCAGAGCGCCAATCGGCGACTCGGAGCCATCGTGGAGCCCGGTCTGCACTGTGCAGGGTTTCAACTTCAAGCGGCCAAATACTTTTTTTGGCAGCCAGTCATTGTGGCACAGGCTAAGTAGAGCCAGCGCGCTTTTGGAAATTTGTACCAGCCAGAACTTCCTCACGGGCGGCCGGCAATATTCTTCCATCTATCCTGGCCAGGTCTTCAACAATGCCTTTGATGCATTCAAGTGAGTTTTGGCGCTCCATACCTGAGTTTTGGGCACAGTTAGAGCTGCCAGCTGTTCGGGTTGTTTGGAGCATTGACAAGGGAGATACGACGATTTTGTAGCAGTGACAACTCTTCACTAATTGATGCAGATTTGATGCATCAAGACGTGACCGGTGGAATATGATTTCTACCAGCTGCAAGCTGCCGGCAAGCGAGCCGGCATGCAGGGTGCCTTAATTCGGCTGCGGCTGGTCGTACGTCCTAGCTCCAACTGGCTGAGATTGCCATTCAATTGAGCCCGCCCCGCTATGGGAATCCCTGCTGGTGTGCCGTGTCGTGCCGATCAAACCGTCTTTTGCGCTACCATGACCTGTGACGTACTTCGACTCTCCCACGACTCTCCTACCGGCGTTGCTGCATTGCCCCCCCCGACGTACGTGCACGAATGATGCGCCGCGCGGGCGTGCGGCAAACTTACTAGGCAGATTCTGTCGACAGACATATTTCAGCTGATTCGACTCAGTGCACGAGATTCACTCAAACAATCAGTAGAGATATATGCGCTTTGCAGATTGATTCAAGCCAGACATGACCGTGATTCAAGTTTCACTGAACGCCAATATGCGAGGGCATCAATGGCCAATCGTCGACGGATTGGACACGGCCGCGAACCGTCCCGCAGCGACCGCCCAGCGTGAGGGCCCGGCCGGCGGCCTCGCAGGGCCCGGCGCGAGTTGAGTGCTGGATCCGATATTCGAAGAAGCCCTGCAGCTCATGCAGCGCTGCCCCAGAGCGATGCTATGACAATTTGCATCACCGGCCGCGTCACTCAGTATCTCGTCTGCACCCTAGTGAGCAGCTTTATAACAGATGGCGATTCGAAGTTCGATTCAGCTACCGCAGTAGTTCAACGACCGCCAACTATGCACACTGACGGCTTGAGTCTAATATAGAGTGCACGGCAGACTCGAATTGGAGGATACATAGGACAATGACTCAGTGGTCCCTGTCTTTATCGAGTTTGAGGAGAACTCGATGACGCCATAATTTCGATGTTGTGACGGAGGATGGACCTCCGTACTCGAATGTAGCGTCTGTGCCACCAGTGTGTCCACTAGCATCATGTGTCATTTCGAATCACTTCCGGCATCAGCGAATGCTGTGACTGAGCTGCTGAAAGCTCGTGCATCAGTCCGTGCATTTGTGAACGAGGCGATATGCGTTTCGTCATGCCCCAAAGTCTCGCAAACATCCGCCGAGACTGCAGTCCGGTCGCAGCAGATTCGGAACTACGATTCATTCTAATTTAAATCATGACCTGGTAGAAGAGTCACGCGAACGGATCTCAGGTCTATCCCGACCAATATAGCCGGGAAGAAAGCTGGCTGCTGGAAAGACATGTTCACCTTAGATAATATACAAACTGTTATTGCGGCTGATCACAACTACCTGACAGTAAATCGACGATTCGGGCCTTCAGGGTCTTCATAAGCAGTCGGAGACGTGCGGCCTCGTTGCTAATCTCCAGGAACTGCACGCAGGAAAGACACGGAAGCAGCGCTTTAGAGACGGACGTAGATTTACAATTTTTTTTGGGCTGAGTAGATCCAGCATATACATTCAGCGCGTTCCAAACAATAGGAACTTCTCCGATCACAACAGAAGTCCTGAAGTCATACCGTTTGGCTTTGCGATCAAACTTTGCAGATTGAACGTCAGATTTGATTATAACTTCTTTTCCAACACCTTTCTTGCAGACGCGATCTCTCACGGCATCGGGCCAGGACAAATGTTGACCTCTTATTTTTCGACCGCAGAAGCGCAGCATCCCCGGGTGAGCGACAGCAATGACTTCCAAACGGCCGACATGCTCAGATGACTATTTGTCACCCCTGTGCAAGAACAACAATCGCAAAGTTACCCACCTTTGCGTTTGGACCTTTGCACTTTATGCACGGCCTTATCCTACTGCAAGCCGGCCCCGCCTTTTTCCCGTCCCCTGATCCACCAGCCAAACGACCCCCCTGCACCGAACTCCCACACCGCAGCACCAGCCGAAGCGCCTCATTCCGTTCCGCTAGTTTCCGCAGATCCGCCCGCATCTGCCCGCACACCTCTTCCAGCGCCGCCCGGAGCTCCGTGTCCCCGCCACGTGGCGGCTTCTCCTGCTGACACGTGGCGCCGGACTGCTCCGAATCTGTCCCAAGGGAAACCGACTTACAAGCCTCTTTCAGTTGGGCGTGCACTTGCCTCA